TTTTTTTTTGTTCCTTTTCTGCAGTTGTGTCTGATTGGTCGGGGATGAATCAGTGTTTTAGTGCACCTAAACTTGTTTGAGGAAGATGGTATTCTGTAGAGGACCTGAAACTTTGATGCCAATTTCTTTATGCAGTTAAATGCTATTTCTTTGAACAGTCCAATGCAACTTCTTCTGTGTCTACTCTTTAAATAGTTAAATAGTTAAAGGCGAGAATTTGTATTGGGTCGAGCTAAGATGGCTCAATGCTTAATGTACGACCAGTTGACTCTATGAGTCATCTCAAGCAGAACTATCTCAAACCAGATGGGAGAAACTTCGGATTATGGGTTGGATTAAAATGAGTGAGAAGTAGGTCCACTGCTTTTGGTCCCAAATCAGATGCATGGGAACTTGGCATCTTACTGTAATAGTTAAAACTTCCAAAATATTCCTTTTCAGATTGTTTAAGTTCTGTAGTCACCTTTTATGATACAACAGCTAGCAGAACAAATGTGAGCGTATTTGCATAACACAAAAGGCAAAGGCCTCTCTTTCTCCCCTCTCTCTCTTACTTCTAAATTGACTATGAAAAAGAAAAAGGAGGAAGAAGATGAACATTAAGATGAAGAAAAAAGGTTGTCAGGTGAAGGCTCGAAAGTAAAGCCTAGTGAATCTTCCACGGTTCCGAGAAGTGTCCAAGATCTTAAAGAATTTGTCTAAGTCAATCGGAAAATAATTTCTTAATAAAAATCATAGTTCAAAAGCATGAGGGATAGCTACTTGCAGCATTCCCGAAAATGGTCAACTTTATACTGCGTAGTTACAAAAACCACCCCCAGTTTAGTCTGGCTACAAAAGAACCCAGTTAACTTTTGAAATTACTAATTTCATCAGTAATGAGGAGTATCCTTGATTTGATACAGCGGTCAAAGTGGCTAGAGAAACTACGAAAGATAGATGAAAATTTTGTAATAGGCTGACCATGGATATTTTTTCAGTTTAAAAGACTAGCCGTGCAAAATCTCTCCTCTCTTTTCTCCCTATTTTCTCCATCCATGCATGACACTGCGTGCACACAGACAAGCAAAACAATGCACGCAAATAGTTTTGTATATCTACAACATATATCTATTCGAGAACATATACGCAAATATTACACATGTCCTTACAGAATTTACAGTTCTTTCTATTAGAAAAGAATTAGCACATAAAGCCTGTGCAAAACCTCATAACCAACAACTCCACTAAGTCTTTATAGGACACCTTTCATCTCTTCTCAAGATAAAAACTTTTGTCCCGAATTCAACAAGATTTCTCAATCGTTAAATGTACACTGATTCAGCATGTTTACCTACCTACCTTACTTAAACCCGCAAAGTATTAGCACGACTCTGTAAAATTCATCCCTCGCTCCAATTCATGAATGCTGCTACATCACCAGCAATGTCCTCTGGTGGAGCCATCACATTATTAGTTGCCGGGTGACCGAACTTTGCTCCCCAACTCAGCAATGTCGCCACATGTTCTTGTGTGGTTGGATGAATCCACATTATCGGTTGAACTTCTGGAAAGAGGATCACTGTTTTGGAGTTCACACCGACCCAAGGCCAAGCCCTCATGATACATGTCAGTAGATTGTCACACATTCCAATGGCTGCCTGTTGGAAAAACATGTGAGAATAGTAGCAAAGCTATCCAACTTAATGCTAATGTCTAATCACCAGATGACATACAAGAATATCATTTTAACATAAGCATGTAGAGCAGGAGAAAACAATAAAAAGAAGGAAAAAAAATAGAAAGCTATAGAATGTCTAAAAACATGCTTCGATGTTAAAAAAATAATAATAATAATAATAATAATAATAATAATAATAATAATAATAAAAAAATAAAAAAAAAAATTGAAAGATCTAGCTAAATAATTTGGTAGAAATATGAGCATAAAGGAAATGGCATCAGTTGATCAAGAATGTAGTGTATGAAGCCAATGTATCTATCAACAAACAAAACAGAAGCTCATCAATCTCACTGTTACAAGTTACAAGGCATGCTTCAAACAGTCGAAACGCAAAGATTGTGCCGTATTCCCGAAACAACATTCCAGTATATCCAACATGATTATCATATTTTTTGGATGGTATTACCTATCAGCCTCTAAAATAGCATAATTAAACTACTCAACAGGTTTAAGCTCTGCATCTTCTCTTTAAATGCAAATAGAAACTAAACAACCGATTCCATCTCCTGTCTGAGCACATAGTATTCAAAAAGGGGAAATTATATAAGCTCCCAGCTGCACTTCAAAGTTCAAACACATGACAGCACTAACTTAAAATTGACACGTAAAACAGCATATGAAGAACTCTTCATAACCACAAGCCGCAGAATATGTGCATAATGTATTTGATACTTCACCTATCAGTCACAACAACCGGTTCGGTGATTTTCAACCTAGCCATCTCAAGCCCTTAGGCACGGTTTCTTAAAAAATAAAAAATAAAAAAAAAATAATGCACACACATGCACACACACACACACACACATTCAAACATATAGATCCCCAAACCAAGAAGATGATGCAAGATACCTTGGACAGTGTATTTGCAGATAAGGGGGCAATAACAAGAACATCTGCCTCCTTTACGAGTGTTGTGTATAAGGGATTAGGGCCATGCAGATTAAGAAACTTCCAGAACTCCTCATCTGTGTATATTTGAAGCTGCATCGCCAGCTTGGTCCGATCGATAAAGCGCAAGGCAGATTCAGTTAGCACCACCTTAATACAAACCTTATTGTTTTTTAGAGCACGCAGACTGTTGCAGATATCCATGACCTTGCCAGCTGATACACCTCCGCACACGCCTAACAGAACATGCCTTTCTACAACCTCATCTTCTTTTTCTGCAGACTCTTCATTTCGACTCTCTTTGTCGTCCATCTCCATTTCTATTCCATATTCGTCCTCAGGTACATATTCATCATGAACCTCATACCCAACATTTAAAGGAAAAGGCATCTGCACAAAACACAAAAAAATAAATAAATAAATAAAATTGAGAGAGAGATTTTGCGATCAAGCTGCAATTTCATGAACACAATCACAATTTACAAAACAAGAAATGTAATGCAGTAGAAACTCCATTTATCCATCTAAACAGAATTTTGAAAATATTTTAATTGATTACCTCTAACTCACTTTACACACTTGCCACATAGTGTCTGTCATCAACAAATGCAAAAATTCCCAAACGAGAAACACAATCGATTGGAAACTCTATTTCGATCAAATCCACGCAGGATTTAGAAAGAAACGCCATAAACTACTACAAGAATCAGTAACCGACTCATGGAAGAAACCTAAGTATTACAAACCAGCACAAAGTTTCCCTAAAGAGAATCGCAATGAATTTCAAACTCCAACCTATCTTTCCAAAACTAATGCGATTGGAATCACTTACAAAAATAACGAAAGAATCACAAGAATTATCATACGAACACAAGATTTGGGATAGAATCGAACCTGATTTGCACCAAATAAATCTGAAATTTCACAAAAGGAAAAGCACAAAATGACTGCAAATTTGAACTTACAGCACAAGTTTCCAATACGCAACGAAAATCGAATAAATTCTAACAAATTAAACGAAGATCGACTGCGATAGATACCTGAAGAGGTGTAGCGAGGAAAGGCGATTCAATTTTCGAGAGAGATTGAAGAGTGGTAACAGCGGGAAAATATAACCGGGTTAACACCCAACTAAAAGGAGAGCAAACTAGTCACTTAGGGGGTGATTGTTTATGGTTTGAATAGTAAAAAAACTAGAATTTTTTAATTATGGTTAAGTTTAAGAAAAAGTTGTATGGTTAGTTGTTAGTGGATATAATAAAATAGTATTTAAAATAAAATAGTTAAAGTTGATTTGATGTAAAGTAGGAGAAAAATAATTGGAAGTGATAGTTAGTTAAAATTAGTTAGAATTATGTGAGTGGATAAATAGTGAATTAAAGTTGATGTGATATGTAATAATGATTTGTTGATGTTATTTAATTATATAATAATATTGGAGATAGTGGGGTTGAGTTAAAGTTGAGTTAAATTTGAATTTGAGTAAAAAAAATTACTGTAGGGATGATAAACAATCATGCCCTTAATCAGGGGCAAATGTGTAAGTATAAGGAAACATCGATGGATAAAGTTGCAACTTACAAGTTTGGCGTTTTATTAAAAAGCAGCGTCGTTAAATTCTTAAGCGCGATTGAAAATAAATATTTTTTTATTGATTGGTTCGATAATTTTTTATCCAACATAATTGAACATAGATTTTTAATTCAAAATCAAATTTATTCAAATATTATCAATATAATTAAAATTACTTATATCAATTATTTTTCAAGTACTTTTAAGTACTCGATCAATTATGTTTGTCTATGTAGAATTTGTCCATGCAGAAAAGATCATTACAAAATAAATTAGACGAAATACAAATGTACTTGAAATTTCTAAACTATGCATGATAATATAAATAAATTGATTGATGTTTTTATGACTCCATCTAGGCATCCTAATTGCCAAGGCCTAGTCGACACGGACAAATAGTTGATCGGCCTCACCCGATCGCTTTGGCTCTCGTCTCTTCTTGTCCATGGGCATCGACATATCCATTCTCATCACCGGCCCCCAACGCGCAAATAGGGCATGGAAACTATAAAATATTGTCAATTGTTAAGGAAAGATTGTTGATAGGACACACCACCCTAGTTTGCCACTCTAATATAGCTAGGTTTGCAGGGCTGCTTATTAGCATTAAATGTCTCGCATGTGTGCATTTAATGTCTGACAAATAATCATTGATCAACCTCAGACCTCATTCAATGCTCGTCATAAGCCGACCTGTCATTTTTGGTTACCGTATGAAGTGACAGAGTGAACAATTGATGAATATTACCATATTTGTGTTACTATATATAGGAAGTCCTCTCATTTATTAGGGGTTATTGAAGATTCTGCCAACTCTCTCTCTCTACATTTACTCTCCCTCATGTAATAAACTTATGTAAATAAATTGAAAGTAAAAGGTCGACCTACTATTCGGAGGTCGACCTTGTTATTAAAGTAATAAAGCTCATTTTATTCTGTAAAGCCTTTATCATCTTCATATTAATCATTTCTAACCCTTAAACTGACTGTTGACCGATTCCGATTGTCAACGTATTGGAACCATGATTTTTGGAAATAAATGTACGATTTTACATTTTTATGACATACTTTATAAAATAACATAAATAAACATATAATATTTTAGTTTTTATTATATAATTTTATTTAAAAAGTAATGCCAATAGACTCGTCTAATGATTGGGTTGCATCACAAAAATCTTTGTGAAATAATAAAGCAAAATGGTGTTTCAGATATACTGCTTTATATGCAATATGAGTTAGTCTAATTAGGCGGATCAATTCATTGTACTATTTAATCATAAAGGAATAATTTTATTGTCAAATGTCATGTTTTTATTTATATTGCTCTTTAATACATGACATTTTCTAGTAAAAAATATGAATTTATGTCGATCCAATGAATACGTCGGTTTAACACAAGATCAACCTTATTAATCAATATTGTCATACACATCCTCAAAAGCTTGGAATACTACGTATTCTTAACTTTTACCCTTAAGTTTAAAATATTTACCGGACACATCAGGCACAAAGATATAGTCGATGTTATAGTTAATGCAAAATCACAAATTTGTGTGGTTTAGATAACTTTTTAAGCTAATTTGATATTAAATGTTCTATACATTTACTATATAGTAAAAATACTCGTTCAATCATTGACTTCAGTAAAACTAATTGCACAAGTAAAAATAAAAATAAAAAATGAATCTGTCCACTATCCAAAGAAAACATCATTCTTGAGAAAATGATAAGGTATTGAACCAAGCATATGTACAGAGATCCCATATTGGGAAAAAAGATCAGAACTCAATCTTATTTTTCAGGTGAGACACAGTTAACTGAATTGCTCGTGGGACTGGAGGCAAGATTGCCCTGACATACATCCTGTGAATATTTTACCTCTACAAAATCTTCTGAATGCTTCTTAACCGGCCCCTTTATCTCGAGTCTGATTATCAAAAGCACTCAAAATTATTTGGCAATAATAGCGCTGGAAAAAAAGAGGAAAAGAAAAAAAGGTATGTCGTTAAGTTGTTAGCTAATGCTGCAATAAATATATATTACATACCCAGTCGACAACTTGCGGCTTTTGTTTGCCACAATAAGTTTCCAAGTTTTGTTAGACTGAAGGCTGCACTGACTGCTGATGTGCAGACTAACCAAGATAACTCATAAATCAGTCGAGTAATAACAGAGACATAAAGAAAAATCAGATTCGAGATTGACGATGAATTCATGAATACATACAACCACATACCTACACAGCAACTTATTAGTTGTCTTGGACCTTTTGTTTGCTGGTTGAAATTTAGGCATTCCTACAGGCTCATAACTGCTAATGCATAGGCAGACAATAAAAACGAGGCACTCAAAGAAACTATGTGTATGAACTAGCTAAAAGGGTCTTTGCAATGCCCATATGAGAAATTCATGCATACCCCTCATCCAAAAAGACAGTTGCTTCTCTCCTTTCGATGGTGCTGATTGGGTCTAGTTTGGGACGTGCATTTTCCCTATTTCCAGTTTTAAATTTGACGATCTTCCTGAGTTTTGGGGTTCCTGTAGATGAGATAGACACATCTGGGGGATTAGGACGGCCAACAAGAGACAGGGCACGGAACTGCAAATCTAGTCCTGAAGCTGAGGGCGCACCAGGTCTCTTCTTGCTCGATTGCTTCTTGACTGTATTCTCAGTTCTAATAGCACGTGTACATGAAAAAGTGCATTCAAGATCAATATGACATGTATCATGCTGAAATGAGCTAGCAAGTGCAAGTAATACGGAAAATTTATATACCTATGGGGCACGAAATTAGTCAACTCTAACCATATGTTTCTATAAACTTGATGAGTGCAGAGCAAAGCTCGTTCCTCATCCTCCACCAATTCTTCATTATTGTTGGAACAACGATGACTAAGCCACCTGAAAATCGAGTAGCATAAAAAACACATAAAATCAAACCGCAAAAACATAATATGCAAATGTTTTAGGTACATGACGTCTTGGTAAGTGGTAACTAGATTCTTGAAAAGAACTGAATAGCGTACAAGGCAACAGCGTCAAGTGTCGTTAGCGTGAGTATTTAGCTATTTAGAATAGCATTGATACGAACTACTGAAGTCAATAAGTGCACAAGAAAAATTACCCCTCTCGACATTGTTTTCCGGTGCATCCAGGAATTGTTACTGCCATACCGGACCACCACTTCCGACCATAAGTGTTGACCAATTCAACTATATATTTATCCTCCTAATCATGCATATTGAAACTTTAGATACATTTAGAATAGGGCTCTGTTAAAAAAAGTGGAGATAAACGAATGACAAAATGCAATATCCTCTAAGATTCATTTTCTAACCTCTTTTGGAAAGGGACCACTCATGATTTGATCTGCTTGAACCTTGAAACACTCCACTAGATACAACATAACACACGAATAAATTTGCATGCATGATTATTTTGAGCCATTTGTTATTAGTTCAATGTTGTAGATAACAGAGGCACATATACAAGAGGAAAATAGAATTTGGGTCCTTCAGAAGAAGAGAAACGAAAAACAGAGGACACATCAAGTCGCTAACAATTACACAGCACAAAGGCCTAATATCAATTCTGTACCTATTTCTTTCCAGTTTCTCTCTGTGAATTGTCGAATGATCCATATCAACTTCTCAGCCTGTGCGACAACAGAAAAGTGATAACAATAGAATCACAAATTGACATACTACACATTTGGATGATTACAAAAAAGTTCCAATATTGTGACTATCCACGTAATATGACTAGAGAAAAACCAAGCCAGCAGATTGCACTTTCGCAAGGGGAATCAGGAGGATTAACAAAATTGTCGAAATTTTACAGAGACGTCACATAACATTCAGTCAACCATAATCAGATTGCTGCATGAACTTACTTTTCGTTTGGTAAATTTACTAAATCAAAACAAACCTAAATACATTAGATAGCAAAATATTTGCTTCTTAAACATGATACTAGCATCCAAGTATACTCAAAGCAAAAAGGTAGAAGCATGGAAATATCAACTGTTGATGATACGGACAGAACAACACATATGATTACAACTACATTTTAGATTTGAATCACCTGTTCTTCCCTCAACGGTCCTGGCTCAGGAGGCCATATCACATAACCCGTCGTCCTGCAACAACAAACGCGACGCGAACCACTTTACAGTCGAAAAAGATTTACGAAAAAGATCTATTGAACATATGAGAAACTCAGCAAATCAAGCTAGAAGAATTCCAATCGAACACAAACGCGCGCGCGCGCGCCCACGCACCTCCGAAACAATCTGATTACAGTGGAAGCCAGTAAACAGGTGCAGGGACAGTGAGCAAGTAGTTGATCGTCGCATGGCCGATTCTTTTGATCGCCCAAATTTTCCATGGTCGCCGATGAGTCAGTTGGGGTTCAAAGTGGAGGTGTTTATGGGGAGGAGTTTATATTGTGTTTATAGCAGTTATTTTGTAGCAGGCGGACCGGCCCAGGGCCCTTCATGGCCCGCAGTTGGGTCTCTGCGGCCCAAAAGATGGGCCTCCATTGCACGCTCGAGTCCATCTGTGCGCAGTCTGAGAGGTGGGCCCATCGCACGTCGAGGCCCGCCCAATTTACCATTTACATCTTTTTATAATCAACGGTCCAGGTGAGTCCAATCTTTTTAAATTGTTTATTGAATTTTATAAAATTCAGATTTATAAACATTGTTAAAATTTAATTAAATAGTAAATAAGTTCGTTAATAATAATAGTAGTAATATTATATCTATAACTAAAAAGGCATTTCCCGTATTTTTGATATTTTTTTGGGAAAAAAAATTGAAATTCAATATTCCACTAAAAACAATAGGAACTGGCTATTTGGCATTTTAACTATACACACACAAAAAAAAA